CTTATACAATTATTAATTTCTTGAACAAAAATGGGTGAGGATCTAGACCCTTGGGTCCCCCACCCAGATCTGCACCTGCTTGTTCAACATTAAAGAACAGAGTTACTCGTTTATAAATCAGAAATATAACACAGTGTAAAAAACAATAAATATAGTAACAGTAATACTTAAGTAATCAGAATGTTAGTGATAGTTTGTATGACAAAAAAAATAGTTTTTTTTCATATTGACCAAAAGCTTGATTTATTATAGCTAATTATAACTTGCATCAGACCAAAAATTAGCTATATGTATGACATGTGTAAGGGAAATAAATTTTAGTGAAGATGATGTGATCATAGTATTTAACATAAACTATATAGAAACTAGGTATACTTACATTAGTTACTACTGTACAGTTTAGAGGAATAATTAGGTGTTTCAGTGAAAATTGGGAGCTAGATGGTATTGTTATTAAAAATAACTGTTTTCTAAACAAATATATGGAAATGTTGGACACTAATAAACCTATGCCTTTCTCAAGAGCTAATGGAGTAGTGGCACCACTGTATTGGACATTCAAACTGTACCATTCAAAAATAAACATAGCGTAACAGTACATACATTGTGTATTATATTACACTTATAGGGACTAAATTACATGGAGATATCATATAGATACTTTTGCTGGTTACTGTTTTCAGCAATAATATAAATTTGTAATTATATTGGGTGATTTGAAAATATTAGAACATTGTACATTACATGTAATTTACAATTCTTATATCTCCAAATTCAGTTTACTAGTAACTTACAATTCGTCTGTTTAAGATTTACATACATTAATTTAAAACCTTAGAATTCAAATGTGAATTAGTGGTACATTTTGAGATATTTTCATAATTTCAAGTTGTTCATTTTATTAGAAAATTTCCTAAGACATAGATTTCATTGTAGAAACTTTTTGCGATTTATTGTTTTACAAAAGTTATGTTTTTACTGTGTTTTTAAGCAGATTTGTGATGTAATTCTGCAATCATTAAATCACATATAATTCTAAATTCCTTTTGATTGTTTTTTTTTATTTTGGTACCAAAATTCATGTTTGTTGGAAGTACATATATCTGCTTTATGGAAAAACGGTGCTTATTTTCATGTACATGGTTAACGTTAAATCATTTAGTTTTCATGTCATATATTCTTGCCAGGGTTACAATATTAATCTTTCATCCTAATTTTTAGCCAGTAAATATACTTACTTGTAGTTGAGCAACTGTTACAGTACCTAATGCAATAAAAATACTACATATTAGAATCCAATTAATAGAAATGTAACCATCAATGTAATTAAATTGTTATCATGGACCAACCCTAAATATAACTAAATCATTATCATTAAATGTAATTTAATGTTTGCACTAATTTAACCCCATTACAATTGTTTCTGACAAATATTAGTTTTAGATTTGTAGACTTATAAATAAGTACATTTAAGAATAGTAAAATGACATTTTTTGTACGAAAGCTTGTCAATATGTAGTTAAACACTAAAGTGAAATTAATGCATATATGTTGAACTTACTCCTGTTTATTTGTTTATTTTTAGTGCATCTGTACAGAATGAAAGCTGTTGATACCTTGATAAAGTTGGGTATGTACCTTTCTCAATTCTTTCACTTCTCTCTTTATTACAGTACATTGTGCTGATGTGTTGGAATATGAGAGACCATGTAAATATATTAAAGTTTCCTTAATTTTCATTTGTTTAGAAGTAGGATCTTGTTATGTTTTTAAGCTAGTTTCTGTACATGACAAACATCATAAACACTTCAAATATTAAAATTGATGATGAGGAACTAACTTTTTAGAAAATAAAGTTTGGAAACAGCTTGAATGGGTAGTGAAAGAAACTACATTAAAAATATTCTATGTTTCAACAAGTTTTTCATCATCATCAGCTTGTCAAAATGTTGTAAGTTTGTAATAAAGTTTCTTTCACTACCCATTCAAGCCATCTTCAAAATTCATTCCATATATTAATTAAAATTATGTGAAGTAAAAGCCTTGAAATCAAGTGTTTACCACAAAAAATCCAATATTGTTTCTTTAATCATAATTTAATTCCTCAGTGTTTATTTGTAAACTAAGTTATTAAAGATTTTGGAAGTTTTCCATTTTTAGATAGCATATAGTAGTACCTTAATTTCTACCATAAAGCATGTTTTCTACATTTCACAACTTTATTCTTGGTTTTGATGTACCAGTGCAAAGTTTTATACACTTACATGTAGTAATTTCATTTAACTATTTGAATATCAGTTTAAAATGTTTCACCTTCACAAAACAAATGAACTTATTTCTTTTTACTTTTTGTCATTTTTCAACTTCTCAAACCATCATGATTTAATGATAGTAAAGCACTTGTCATATGAAAATGTTAAAATAAAAAAAAATTCATACATTTATGTTTAATTACAATAAGGTAACTTTATTGAAAGACTAAATGATTAAAAGAGCAGATTTCATAGTATGAAATAAGTTGGAAGAAATGTGTATTTCAAATGAGTGGAAGCCATCAGGTTTTTACATTTGTGATCTAAATAAAATACTGATTTAACTTCCAAAAGTATTTTTCTTAAAAACTTAAAATTTTTACAGTAGTTTCTGTTTTTTTATCATTAAAGTATATACATATCTATAGATAAACTTAATATTTTAAAATCAGTATCTTTTTTCAGTTGTATTTATTTTTTGGTAGTTAGTGATAATGTCAGAACTTTTTTTGCATAATTCTTTGTATTGCTGTCTGTATAGAATAACATATAATTTATATATCTTATATAAAAGTTTTTCCATTAGATAAAAAGTTATCACACTTTTTTTGGTAAATTTCTACATATTGTACGTTTCACGATGAATGGCTCAGACATAGATGTATCAACATATTTATTGAGCATTTCAGAATGTGCTCATTCTATTATCAGGAAATCTCTACAATAAATAGAGACAATAAAGATAACACATGAAACTTCCAGTCAAATTATAAATATTTATAAAAAGATTAGGGAAAAAGGTTAAGAATGAAGCATATATGTGCTCACACACACACACACACATATGTACTTTGAAAATTAGGTGTAGAGTACATCAAAATGAATATATATGTTTCTTACAATTTCAAATTTACTCAGCCAATTAGAAAAATACCAAAATAAGTTTAATTCAAGAGATGTCATATCAAAGTCCTATTTAAGCAGGAAAATTTGATTAGAAGTTCCATCTCTGTATGGTTTTAGCTAGAACTTTGAAACCAGTTAGTAAAATTGCAAACCAAGTAGTTAAACTGTTTGTGTGTGGATAGCAGAAAGACAGAGTGATTGTAGTCTCCGGCTATTTTATAAGAAAATCTTGTCTTCATAGATACATACATTATAGTTTAATTACTTTTAGCTTCTTCAATTTAGATAATATTGCAGCTGCCTCATGCATATGACAAAATACAATTTGAAAACTATGAATTTTTTTTATTAAAAAAATTAAATAATGCTATAAGTTTTTAAACCAGGAGTAATAATGAAGTTGCTGTAGTAGGGAAAGTTACAGTTTTCTTTAATTTTCTCATACAATAGAAAATTGTTTAAAAGATGCAGATCCCACATATCAGCGATTTCAAGGTCAGGATCTTTGTATGTCTTTGTTGCAAGCTGTACATAAAGGAGTTCTGAAAAATTGTGATCCCAAGCCAATTCGTCAGTTTGTTGACTTGTATCAAAGTGCTAGGCATGCTCCAAAGGTAAATTTCTTATTATGCTCAAATGTGTATTACAAAGGAGTGAGGTTGGAAACAAAATGAATGACGAAAGATGGTCTTCCACAATAGAAACATGTAGTACATAGGAGCCAGTCTGGAAACAAAATTAAAGAAGAAACACGGTTTATCGATAATAGAACTGTGTAGTATGTAAGAGTCAGGTTGTAAACAGAATTAATGAAGAAAAATTATCTTTCACAATAGAAATACATAGCATGTAAGAGTTAGGATGGGAACAAAAGTAAAACAGTCCTTTGCAATAAATATGTAGTACGTTGGAGTCAGGTTGGAAACAATTAATGAAGAAACCATAAAAATGCCAGGGTGAAACTCAAATTTATATATATTTTGTACATGAATATGCTATTGCTAATGTTATAAAAGACTGATAGCAGAGTAATGATATTAATCTGCAAATTATTGTATAGCAAACCTGACTACAAATTTAAAATCAAAATAATATGCTATATATACTTTTATTCTATGGAAAATCATGTACTCATTTGCCTCTTTTCTTAGAAAATATGATCTAAAATATTTTAAAATACTTTTGTTTCTTGATGGCATGTACTATTTGAGCTATGATTAATTTGATGCTAAGATAATATTTCATGACCAATACATGAACTTTCAAAACTTTCAATTTTCAATCTGCCCTGAGTGAAGACATTATAGAACATTAACTTTCTTCTTTAGTCTTCTTTGAACTTCTGTGTTCAGTAGGATTTTAGAAGGATTTTGTGTGATCAGATATTGCTACTTGACTTCTATTACTATGTCATAACCAATTTCATATATTAACTTAAATTCATGGAACATCCTAAAAGATAAGATGAAAATTGAAGATGTAGATGTGATTAATGCATGAATTTAGAAGGGATTAGCACACAGATATAGATGATTCATTAAATTGAAGTGTTTCTCTAATAAAATAAAATATAATTGGCTTCATTAGATTAATTTTTTGATGACACTTCCTAACAGTTCCATTCATATTTGGGGAGTCACTGGGTGATTGTCAGTGTTTGAAATAGTTTCGAAAGTAGTTCTAGTTTTTATTTGTGGTGAATAATAGATTTCTGTACACATTATGTGCAACTTACACAGAACATGTAGTCTTTTCTCCAGTAAATGATCCAAATAATTTTTTTTAGATGGAATCAGATTATGTTAACTTGATTTTATTAAGAGGTAAAAACTTTGTCTAGTAGAATTACAAAATTAAGAAGAAAATGTAAAGTTTTTTTTTTTTTCTCTCTTTCCAGATATTTGATCAAGAGCAATTTAGTGAGTACATGAAGCTTCTTTCATTTATTTTGAACAGGTAAGTATCCTGATCCATTGTGGTTAGTCATAGAAGTCTGTTGTTTACTTATGTAAGTTTATGTTTTTTAAATGTTTTTGCATTATTTCATCTAAATATAGAATTACAAAAGACATACAACACTAATGAAGCCAGTTTTATTTTATTAGAGGAACACTTCACTTTAAAGAATCATCTACATCTGTGTGCTAATACATTCTGCATCTATATGTTAATCAATTCTATGTTTTCATGCTAAACCCCTAGATTTTCGTTTTATCCTTTGTGATCTTATAAAAACCAAACAGACTTGGATCAGACTGGTTTATTAAAAGACAAACTTCTGAGCCAGGAACAAGGCTTGAACTATCACCTAAGGTGAATTAGCTCAAAGATATCTTAAGGTCTTCTACCTGCAGTGTGGCAAAAATGTATACAATGACCTCAGGGCATGGGAGGTGGGAGTTACAAAAACCAGGTAAGGTGTAGGGAGATGTGCATGAAAAGTAATGGTAATATTGAGTAACTCAAATTATTGTCAATAATGTTTTCCATAGACAACATTATGATATATTTGAAATATAATGCAATATGTTAAAGATAATTTTAATATTTTTAAACAAACAAAAACTATTCACTATTTCAAATGTAAAATAAAAAGCTTTAAATATTTTATCAAATTTTTTATTTGAAAAATTTAGTAAAATTTATTTGGTGCCAAAAACAATAAGCCATATTCCAACATTTTATTACATTGAAACTTAACTGCAAAAAAAAACAAGTTTAATGTCTATTAGATTATAAGCTTTAAAGCTAATTATTTTTATATATGTATCTTATTGTTAATGAAAATCTTTTTGGGATGTTACCATCAGTGTTTAGAAATAACAGTGTATTTTTTTTATTTTTCAATGATATTATTGGTACATTTACAGTAGAGTATTAATTAAAGTTACAATTTTCCTATACTGAAAATGTATTTCTGATAGGTACTTTCCTCTGCTCACAAGATTAGCTATTCTCGTTCAGTACTGCCACCCCCACCCCCCAGTGACACAGCAGTATGTCTGCAGACTTACAATGCTAGAAACTGGGTTTTGATACCCATGGTGAGTAGAGCACAGATAGCCCATTGTGTAGCTTTGTGCTTAAATTCATACAAACAAATCAATGCTGCCCTTTATATGTGAACTTTTTATTACGTATGCCACAAGTCTTCTGCACCTCCCTGTTAGAATCAAATGATTCCAACGTGTGTCACATGCAAATCATCATGCATCACTTCTCCACCAATAGGAAAATAGTACACTCACGTGACACATGTAATACCCTCTTTGTGCCTCAACCAAACTATCACTTTTTGTTTGGCAGCTTTTGCATTCAGATGTCTTTTCATCTTGTTTAGTGTTTAATCATGAATTAGTTCTCAAAGTGGTTTAATTTCACAACATACTTTTTTAAAGCATTCCAGTTCACTTACCCTTGTTCTAGTCACATTTATTTCTTAGTTCAAACGACTGTTACAACGTGAATTGCGAAGTTAATGTCACCACTTTGGGTGTCTCACATTCAACAGACACCATACCACAGGCTTCAGGTGCTGGTGACCTGTCGGAAGATTTATCTAAGTTTATTCACAGGGAGATTGAATCTTATATGGATCAACCGCTCTCTCCAGACATTGCCACACTTCCTCCTGAATCTGTGGAACCTGGGCAGGCTGACGAGGACTTTAATTGCTTGTTTCCTCCTACTGATTTTGACATGCCTTCCCATACCCTTCCTGAGGATTCTGTATGGCCTTCCATGGTTTTCTTGGGCTTTATTTCTCAGGTATGTGATGTTTTATACCATGCTCCCATATCTTATGACCTGTGTCCTTCATTACTGCATGAATATACTTTCCAACTCTAATTGGTTTTCCCCTGTCCTCCAATATTTGGGTTCATGCTGAACAATTCACCTCTCAGGTGGCCAATGGCGTTAGTATGCTTCAGATCAGTCTGCCCTCACATATAATAGGGCTGACTGTCCATATCTCAACCAACAACTGTTGGGTTCGATTTTACTTGTTTGTGGGGCGGGCCCCCGAATCTCCCGTTAGTCTCACCCATGCCCAATATTCATGCCTCCATCTTACCCTCACGACTCTTTTGCGGTACCTTTCCACAATCCATCTCCTGTCTGATGCTCTTCACAGAAATACTGAGGGATTTTCTTGGGACATCCTCTCCCTTCTTACCTCCACATTGGCTCATTTGTCATCTTCAGCTCTGGTTGTACAAACGTGTTTTATTTGTTGATGGGACCTTTTAGGTCATGATGCTGTTTTATTGCAAAGATTTGTTTACCTGCTACTTATCTTCGGGATTTGTGTATGGCTTCGTTTTTAAGATGTTTTGTCTTTGATATGGTCCTGGAGTCCTTGGAGTATCAGGCAGCATTTGTACAGCAACAATCTACTCTTTCACATCTGGTAGCATGTTTATCTTAGTCAGAGCTGAGTGTGTGGCCGATTTAGGTTTCCCCTCCTTCCCCTTCACAACCCCTACCTGTCCCTTCTTCCCTCAGTGCAACACGTCATCATTTTTCTCAACAATGCATATTACACTGTCAACAGTTCTGGTGACTAACTGATGGGTTCGGGTACAATTGGAGCCTCGACTTTCATCCTTCTTTCATCACTGGCACCCTTACATCTCCAATGTTTGGGTTCCCATAACTTGCCAAGTCTATCAGAGGTAGTAAGAGATCTCTTCACACATTAGGTTACAGAACCTGTTCCACATCATTCATGGGGTTTTACTCCCATCTGTTAGTTGTTCCCAAAAAGACCGAGGACAGGAGGCCTGTCATCAGTTGGAGCTCAACTTGTGACCTTTGTTCATTGGTGGCACCTTTTCATCTCCAATGTTTGAGTTCTTCAGGTTTTATCAGAGCGATTTAACATTTCTTTTCTTGCCCCACCTCCCTTGTCTCAGGTACCTCTTTCCTTCCCTTCTCCTCGGGGATCCTATAACTTGCCAGCATCTATAAGAAGTGGTAAGGGACCTCCTCACACATCAGGCTATAGAACCTGCTCCACATCATTTATGAGGTTTTACTGGAGGCCTGTCATTGATCTGTACTGCTTCAATTGATTTGTTCACCTCCCATGTTTCACCATGGAGTCCTACCTTACTCTTTGGGGGCATTTTATCTGGGTCTCTGGATGACCAAGATGGATGTCTCCAATGCTTATCTGCATATTCCCATCTTGAAATAATCTCGTCCTTTTCTTCGGTTTGTTCATCAAGGGATGGTATACAATTTTTGCACCCTACCCTTCGGGCTGGCTTTTGCTCTTTATGTTTTCTGTCAGATGGTGTGAGCTTTCGCTCTTTATCTACATGTCCTGGGGTTGCGTTTCCACTTTTACATGGATGACTGGCTACTTCTGAACAAGAGTCAGCCAGTCATACTCATCAGCACCTTATCGAAGCTGGCTGATCAAATTGGAGAAGTCCTTTCTGCATCCTACCCAATATCTGGTGCATTTAGATGTCTTTTTCAACACTCACCTCAGTTGGCCCCAACCTTCTCCTCTATGACTCCATTCTATAGAATTGTCAGTTCTCCATGCCCTATTTGTTCCCTTACTTTCTGCATGTGAGGTTCTGTTGCTTTTGGGGATGTAGTCTTCTATTAAACCACTCATCCCCCTCAGGCCGTGCACACATGCACTTCCTTCAGTGGGCTCTGCACAATCAATGGAACCTTCTCGGGATCCATTGGATGCTCCCATAACACTTCTTTCTACCCTTGAAGATGATCTCCTTTGGTGGTTAGACTAGACTTGCACATTGGCAGATGTCTTGCTTCCTCCTCCTTGTCTGGATTTACATCTGTTTACGAACACATTCTTTCAAGGCTGGGATGCATGGGTTGATCATCAGGTGGCTTTGAGTCATTGGTCTGTTGACGAACTTACATATGAACATCCTCTAGCTCCTAGACATTCATTGACTTTGGATCACTTTCTTCTCATTGCAGACAGTGTCTGGTAATGATCCATACCGATAATTCAATGATGGTGGCTTATATCAATCACCTGGTCGAGATCCCTCTGTTTTCATACATTGGATCTCCTATATTGGGCCCACGAGCACAACATATTCTTAATTGCATGTTATGTCCTGGGTGCTTTCAACCTCGTGGTGGATCATTTTTCCCACCCCTACAAGATTTACCCGTTGGAGTGGTCCCTTAATTCTCTCATTTTCTGGTGGCTTTGCAATATGTGTGGTTTTCCTTACATCATTGCATTCACCATTGCTCTAAATTACCAGTTACTCATCTTCTGGTCCCTGGTACCTCATCCTCAAGCTTTGTCTATAGATGCTTTCAGACAGGATTGATCGCACAAATTCCTTTATGCTTATCCTCCTTTCCAACTGCTTCATGGGGTAGTTTCCTATATCTATGCCACTCCATGCTGGGTCCTTCTGATTGCTCCATACTGGCCTGCTAAACCATGGTTTCCTCGTTTACTCCAACTACAATTATTCTCTCCTGTACCACTTCCATTAGTGGCCAACCTCCTTCGTCAATCCCAGTCACTGGTTCTGCATCTTACACTTCACGTCCTCCATCTTCATGCCTGGCTTTTGTCTGGTCCTTGGCAAGGAAATCTGGTTTCTCCCATTGTGTAGCTTATCATTTAGCTCAATCCATCTGTCCTTCCTCCATGGAAGTGTATTAGTGAAAGTGGAAGATCTTTCGCACCTGGGTCGAGACTAGGAAATTTCCTGCTGCTTGTCCTACTGTGGCTGGTGTTTCTGAGTTTTTCACATGGCTTTTCAACTAGGGGTCTCCTCAATTTCAGGTAATCGGACAGCTTTGTCCCATACCTTTCTTTGCTCCTGTTACTGCAGGATTTTTCTCTCACCCGTCCTTACCATGTTAATTCATTCCTTGACCTGCTCTTCTGGATAGTATTAGTGTGAACCTCCATTCCTTTACTTTACCTCTGTTTGAACCTATTTCCTCTTGTTCTTTGTTTCACTTGTCCATTAAGGCATATTTCCTTCTCCTTTTGGCCTGTGGGTGTCAAATGTCTGACTTATTCACCATCAACTTTACACACGTATTTTACCACCATACCTACCTTCTCCTTTATCGTTCCTTCCTTCCCAAAACTTTGGTGGTTTTGAGGGTAACTCGTCCTTTTTGTCTATTTCTCTTCCCTCTATTTCTCATCTTTACCCTTGTCCTGATCCAGATCAACTTTTATGTCCCATGCATGCCCTTTGTTGTTATATTACCCACACAGCTTCCTTCTGTGGTTGCCTTTCCCATCTCTTTATCCATTGGCAACCCTCTTCATCCAGAGATCTATCTCCTCTTTTATCCTCACCAATTGGGTTCGTTATTTGATCCAGTTGGCTTATTCCTCTTTGTCTCCTTCCCACTGTACTTTGTTCTGTGTTACCTCTCATCAAATCCAACACCTCAATTTTTCCCTTGCCTCTCATCTTTGTGGGCCTTTGGAGGAAATCCTACAATCAGGCATGTGGGCCACCCCTAATACAGTTAACTCCTATTATTTACACCATATTGATGTTTCGGCTTCCTCGGGTTTTTGCTGTCCACCTGTGACTATATTTCAGACTCTGACACTGGGTAAGTCTTAATTAATACATTCTTTTCCTTGAGAGACCCATTGTTCATACCTTCATAAAATGGATCCCACTATGTGGCAAGTGGTGCCTGATCAGATATTCTTTAATTCTAAATCTGTATGCCATGTTGACTAGCACTTTCCTTTTCATGGCTTTGCACACTCACCTTTGAGATGGGGTGTTTCACAAGATCACTTGTAGGTAAATAACCTCATAATATTTGCTTCATAAATTGGCCCATCCTGGACCGTACTACCCATGGGTAAAGCAGAAGGGGATAGCTGCTCATCCCTGCCATGCCTCGATTGAATAAATTGGTATGGTCTGCTTTTCAAAATAGGGTTTCATCATGTGGGAGTCCTTACCTCTTATCACTTCCAAGCCACTGGGGTGGTCAACCATGGAAGCACCCTGCTGGATGGGTCCCACATAAGATGGCTATAACCATTCAGTTCAGAGTAGTGTGGTGGTGTTCTGCCTGTGTTTATGATATATATATCCTCAGATTTGCAATTAACCATACGACAGAGTGAAACATCACAATGCAGTCACCCTTTGATTGGGAACACTCATCCTACCCTCATGTTGATGTTGATACCCCAAGAGCTGGTTTTGGATTTAGAGTGAACCAATCAACATAAGTCCTCACACAGGTTTTGGTTGTCTATCTTCCTCCTTCGATTTCTCCATCTATGTTGTGAGTCACAGTGGTGAAATGTAATAGCTCTATCCTTGGCTGTCCCTCGTTCTCTCTTATTATGTGGATGTTATTGCCCTTTGGATGGTCCCGACCTGTTTCATGGTCGAGGGAGTTGATTGCATGAGATAGACTTCCTTTTGATACTGGATGTCAAATTTCCGGAACTATAGCTTGGAGTTAGTCCTGTGTAATACCCAGGAGTGGTTCTCAGTTTTCCGGTTCTTGGGTTTGAGGTGAAGATGATATGATCCTCATTCTACCCTCTCGGTACCCTGCGAGGAGGTTTTTGATGTAGTTGACATACCGAGTATGGTCCCCCACACCCTAACCACTCTACACCATGGGACACATCATTGTTTACCCCCTTTTTTTCATTGTAGGATTGAGTTATGATATTTTCTCTGGTTTGGATCACTTCCTACCACATTCTCTCCCACTCATATGTGCTCCTCAACGTTTCCGCCCTGATATCTTGCTCGTTCCACAGATAGGCGAAGAACATACCTGGAGCTATCCTATGGAAGCTTTTGGGTGGGTATGTCTGTTCTTCCCTCACACCAGTCCCTCTTCCTAATCATTGTGGGATTCTAGCTAATCTTGTGAGAAGAAGGAAGTACCGTAACAGAAGTTATAATTTTCATATATTGAGATATTGTAACTTTAATTAATACTCTACTGTAAGTGTACCAATAATATCATTGAAAAATAAAAAAATATACACTGTTATTTCTAAACACTGATGGTAACATCCCAAAAAGAGTTTCATTAACAATAAGATACATATAAAAAAATTAGCTTTAAAGCTGATAATCTAAGAGACATTAAACTTGTTTTTTTTTGCGGTTTAGTTTCAATGTAATGAGATGTTTAGATGTGTGCAACATTTTTTTCAGGGCTCTCTTTCATATAATTTAATTAAACTTCCATAGAGAAACTTTAATTTAACTGAAGATCATCTATAAAGTAAAGAAACTGTAAATGTATTATTACAAGTTGATGAACTGAAACTTTTGTATGAATTATCAAAGTAGTATCTAATGTGGAACATTCCTGTCTGGTTTCTGTTTCTTGCTAATCAGTGGTTTTCAAAGTGCTGAATATATCTCAGTATCTAATTCTAAATAAGAAATGTGTTACTTATGTTGAATCATTAGTCTTCCAATGCCTTACATCTTAATCTATCCTTCCATCTGGTTTTTACCTCAGTTGTGGAACCAGATAATAAAACTTACCTCCAGTGGTTAAAAACTTTTTAGATTTGCTTTTATTTTTTTACTGTACATTTTCTAAAAACATAATAAATTGTAAATATACTCATACAAACTACCTACATGTGCCCATGTATCAAATGTCTAAACAATATATAATGTTTGACTTTCTCATCCAGACCATTTTTCTTTGTACTCAATGGTGTGGACTTAAAAAAGAACTGAATTTATATCATACCTTATCCAACATACACAATGTTCTCTCAATAGAAGCTACTCATATTTACATTCCTATTAAGCTATTTAAAATTCTTCCTTACCCAAACAACTTTGTATAATTTCCCATGTACAGTTGTTCATTCAATTAAATCTACCTCATGTTGGAGAAGGAATGTTGACTATAATTCAGAATTTTCCATGTGTATGTACACCAGATGTATCAAGTCATTATTAAGGTATACAAGTCTGTTGTTCACAGGAAATCAGATATGTTATAAAAGTATTTGTACTCGAGATACGTCTGTGAATTGACATTGGGCAGACTCAGATGAGTCGGAGTGCAAAGTGATGTTAATGTGAAGAATAGAAATACTTTTATCCACTGTACTGTTTACATGTTACTTTTTTATAATCTCTAGAACTTCCACAGGGTTTTTTTCAGTGTCTTTATATATTGTACCTATTATTTACTCTCCTCCTCCACGAACAGTTGCTAAATCAACAATGTAAGGTATAGTGAGTAGTTCATAGCTCTGACATCACATATATAATACTATGTTGAATGACACTGTAAAAGGTTGTGGCATGTACACTTTGACCCCCACCTGTTCTTATCTTAGGGTTAGTGAGAGAATCAGACAACAAAACCCATCACCAGAGGTTAAAGCATTTGTGTTTTATTTTTCAGCAGCTTCCAACAAATCCTTAAATCCACTTTTACAAACCACTTATCTATATCTGAGTGTGAAATATCTAAATGATATCTAGTGTAATTATTTTTAGTCAGTTAAGTTGGATTCTATGTGGTTCCTTTTACATTATCTGTGTAATGTTAGTTTTATTTCTGTGTTTCGCATGTATATTCTCTTTTCATTAATTTTTTTCAAACTTTTATTTTATTACTTAATATTTTTATATGTTAGTATGCATTAGGCAATTTCTGCGGTACTTATACTACCCATATATACATTCAGGAGTATAAACATTACTTCATTAAAGCACAAAAACAGGAACCATAAAACTACAAAATCTCTTTATTAAACAAATAAAAAAAGACACTCCAGCAATATAGTTAGCTATCAATAATGTGTTTAATAGATTTAGCTTTATCATACAAAACTAAAAATATCAACCCACAATAGTTCTATTAAAGGAATTAATTTAACTTCTATCACCAGTTGTCTGTAAAATTCAAATATATTCAAACAAACATATTCATATTCCAGCAATGTGCCCCTTCAGTATCCTAAACAAAGTAACCTAGCATCCTTTTTCAGGGTTATAATATTGATACTATATATGTTTGGAAAATGACAAGTCACACATTGGGTTTCCATGCATATAAGAGCATTCCACAGATTTGATATCCTTATATTTGTATGACACGACTCTGAAATATGCTCTGATGATCCAATAATGAGTTTTAACTGTGTTTGTATATGTTAATAGTGAATATATTGTTGATTTGTCTTTTATGTATCAAATGTAAAACTGTTGCTTTCCCTGAAAGATAATGTTTTCACCTTATGTACTTTCAGCATCAGTTTAGCATCTTGAAAGAAATGTTTCTTAGTCAATGTTCTAAACATAAATACTGAAGTCTCCAAAAAAGATTAGGACATTACCTGTTAAAACAGGCTTCCTTAGTGGTTGACGACTATACCACTCCTTTCCATTTTCTGGTTTTCTCTACATGTTCATTTGCAAGATGGAACAGTATCAAAATTACACAAATCCACGAGTTTGTGGTGCAGCTGTGGTCCCTTTTCAAATTTTATACACAAGAAACATGACCAATGTTTGTTCCAGTATAACCCTGGACAATACCCTTAATTTTCACTCTGTAATTTGGCTTACATACTGAAGGAGAATTGGTCAGTGCTATGGGATTTCGAGCAAAGTTTAAACTATTTTAAAGACTTGTAACAAAGTTATGTATATTACTCAAAAAAAGAGGATCTATACAAATTCAACTATATTTATTCAAACGAGTTTTTGAATGTAAAACTGAGAAGAGGATCATAACCTGATGACAGCTCCAGTACTGAATTCGATATATCTCATTAATAAAATGGTTGAAGAGGATCTTATCTCATTTAATATAACTAAGGCAATATATTCATGAAGTTTAACATGCATACACTTATAATACAGTCACCATACCAATGAAGTCCTTTTTTAAAGAATTTTTTAAACTGATTATTTAATGTTTCTTCTGCAAGTAATAAACCACTGAAACTAATGGATGAATCCTGTTAACTACCTAGCCTGTGTGTAAAATAATTTTTGATTTGGATTTATTTATGAATAGCAAGAAAACTTCACTAACAAGCTGATATATGAATTTATTTTCCAACCTATTCTTTGTGCTTTCTCTCTAACAAAGTAAGTATAGTTAAATAGTTTTGGATAATGCAGATAATAGACCATCTAAAGATATTATTTAACAAACATTTTGACAGAGACATATTGCTTTATAACAATTTTTGTGAAACATTGAAACTTATCAAACAGTAAACAGTGAAAATATATAATCTTAAAAGCTGCCTAATTTTATGCACACAAATGGCAACACCAGTTGTTTACCTGTCATTGAGTGATAATAATACAGTGCATGCTGTACCAAAATTTACACTAAAGTTTTTGAATTAACCTTAAAGTAATGCTATTATAATCAAATACTAAGTATTTCTAATAATCTTGTATTATCTAAAGACTAAACTGTATTTTTTAACATCCTAAGGCATTGAATCAAATGAATTAAGATATTAAAACTAAAAAGCTTAAGACTACATGCACTTTCTATACATTGTATACTACCTACAACAAAATCTTAAGTTGAGTCAGAGAGGAACAGTTCATAATGAAGAATCAAATGATAGCTTCAAAAACTTGAGCTCAGTTAAAGCCACAGCTTAACCACACAGGAGCATAATAAAATGGAAAGATATAATGGTTATGTCCCACCTTTATAAGAATATCTATATGGTTGTTGAAGGGAAACATCTCAAAAGGATCATTAGAACCTTATTTGATGCCATTTCAATAATCTCTACATTCTATTGCTTTCGAAACAGTGCTTTATGTTAATCAGCAGATTCTGAATACTGAGTGTCAAAGGGTAACTTGCCTGTTTGCCAAATTTACAAATTCAAGCAAGATTTATGGTTGTAGTTGACTGGGTTTGCCAAGTATGACATTTGAACTATTAGTTAATTCCCTAGATCCCTAAACATGATCATTACTACCTCTTGTGAGTGAGTTTATAGTCAATATTAGCAGGGTACAAATAAAGACCAATAAAATTATCAGATTATCCAAATTGCGAATAATGTATATTACAATTTATTAACTTTTCTAGGCAATATACAGTAAAAGAATAAAATAAAAAAAATGTTTTTAATCTCTTGTGATGAGGATTGTTGTCTAGTTACCTCATCAAGGTAAAAATTACTGGAAAATTAGATGAAGATGTGAGCGTAAGGAAGACTTTTTAATGTTTTAATATAATTGTGATGTGAGTAGTTTATACTGAGAGAGCATTGTGTATGTTAGATAAAGTAATGATATAAGTTCATTGCTTTTTAGACTCGCACCATTGATTAGTGAGAAAAAGTACCCAGATTGGAGTGTTCCACACTATATATATATATATCATTTAGATATTTCATACATAGGTACAGGTAAGTACTTTGTAAGAGTACATTTACAGCTTATTAACTTTTTAGGTGATGAGCAGTAAATAAATTAAAATAAAAAATGCTTTTAGCCTTTGGTGGTTCGTTTTAATGTATGGTTCTCTCATTAAGATAAAAATTGGACTGGTAAATTACATGAAAATTTGAGGGTAATAAAGGTTTTTTTATGGTCTAATATGATTCTAAGTATGATAAGTTTTTAGTCAGAGAATGTTTTATATCTTGATTATATATTGAGATTAATTAAGAACTTGTTTTAAGACTTAAACCATTCACTAATGAGATAAAGTACTCTGTCTGTTATTTTACACACTAAAGATGAGGATTTGATATTTTGTATATAGGCACAAGTAAGTTGTTTGTAAGATACTTTCTGATATTGTTAACTTTCTAGTAGAAATTCACTAGAAATAAATAAAAAATAACTTAGTCTGTGGTAGTGGGCTTTGATCTTAGAATATTTCTTTAAATTTTCAGTATTGTGCATTTGAGTAGTTTGAAATGAGAAGATAATTTGTATCTATGATTAGTTACTTAGTTAAATTAAGAAATAGGACCTACTTATGTTGTTACTTTGATACCTTACAGAAAAAAAAATGTTTAGTGTTGTTTGGTTATTTATTTTAACCACATTTATCTGTAGGTATTGTATTGTTTATGTAAACAGTTGTTCTGAATTTGTTCATTTATATTCCTGTGCAGATTAACTATTTTTAGAATTTCTTATGTTAGATTTTATGTATTTTACATTTATAAAAGTAGATATATCTTGCTGGTTTATAAATATGAACTATAAAAATTATAACTTAAAATTCTCAGATTTGGTTGTTATATGTAAAAACATATAAGATAGTATTGGCTATCAAAAACTGTTAAAATGGATAAGTTGTGATCTACATGAGTTGTTTATATTAGATCCTAGTTTTTCTCCTCCCTCTATACCTTTCTAGATCTTCTTGTTGACTTCAGATCCAGCCCACTTCCTTCCCCGGGGTTTTTCACAATCTAAGATATCGTAATTTAACTGACTTTGTCGTAATAGCTTGGGCCTGGACTGTCTGTATTTTTTGTTCCAATCTGGTCCACATCTGACCAACTATCTAATTTTTAGTATATCTGTTACCTTTCTTTGTAAATAAACTACTGAGGTAAACAAGTTGGTCTGTTATTTTTCACATTAAAGATGTCATTTTGATAGGCAAATTTCTTAAAAAAACAATACAATACTATACCTTTATAAAGTATCTTGTTCTATATTAGTCTTGTAAAATCTTTTGTTTATATTAATCTTGCAGTAATGTGCTGTTTAATAAGCTACTGTATATAAATTTGAATAACCTGGAAGTTATCATATGTCAATGCCCATTAGAGGTACTATTTGTCAATTTGATTTACTTTATCTCATTAATGCAGGCTTATTACAAGTCAGTGTTATGTATTTGGAAAGGAAGTTAAGGAAAACATATCACAGAAATATTACACTGTATCATACCAAGAGTACAATAACAGAAATCTGCAATTCTAAATGATTGCTCTACATTAAATATATCAGTATAACAAATGGTAGTTAATTAGAGGAAAATATGATATATATTAAAAGGAAATAAAAGTTATTGATATAATGAAGACAAGTGTAGAAGTTACACACATAGTATGTTCTACTATGGTTTGTAGAAAGTTAGTTAAAATATGCAGCAAACTACATGTTATAGCTAGTATGAAAATGAGTTTAACTTAAGCTATACTACGTGTACAAATTTCATTCTAGCATAATAATTACATATTCGGAAGAGGAAGTTGCTTGCCGACACTTGAGTTTCAAAAACCCACAAATTCTTCCTAATTTAAATAAATGTTTGTGACACTTAGAAACAAATTTATTTTGTACATTACCAACTTTTTAGTAGAGTTTCTATTTTAGATTACAAATATTTTTTTTACATAAGGCATTGGAGTATCATACAGTAGATGTGACCAGTGATTTACAGCCATGTGTGCAACTGAAGTATTTATAACAAAATTATTCTGATTGTAAATGAGTTTTAATACCAAGGAGGTCCAGTTGACGTACAGTTGGATTGTCTTAGTTGTCTTAGATCAGGAAATGCATCATGTAATGTGTTGCAATATGACAAAAAAGTGGAACATAATATTTTTATTGCGATCAGACCTTCTCTCGTCAACCAATGGATGAAAAGAAAATTATTTATTCTTGCTTTCAAGATTAATAACCCAAAGCCTATTAAAGTTATGTTATGTATGTTTCAGTATCTGTTATCCACCAAAATATCATCCTAAAAAGTGGCTGGGTAAAGTAAATCCAGAAGATACTGATACCAGCTTAGAAGATTTCGGAGAAGCTGATCTGAATGGTGAAGCAAAAAGTTGTCTTCCTATTTCAATACTAAGATATTCAGTTAATCTTTATATGAAAGAACACTCTATAGAGCATTCAGTTACATTTGAAACGTCCGTATAATGTTATCAAGGTTTTTCAAGGAAAAATGTTTACAAGTTTTATGCTTTTTTAAACATTACCTGTACTAATGTGTTAGAAGTACACAAAAAAAATTGAGTCATATAATGTATGTATGGTACTTGCTTAATATCAACTGCTTTATCCAATTTTTAGTATTACTGGACAAGAAGATAATAGAATTAAAACACAACGTAAAGTTGACCTTAAAAAAAGATTCAAAAATATATAAACTCTCTAATAGGTTAATCATTTGTGATCTAAAATATGTTGCAAAGTAAGAATGCACCAATTTTATTTCACAAAATACACAAACTGCTTAGGCTATTAAAGCTGCAAGCTTTCAATAGTAATGATTAAGATTTTATTTTCGAAAATATTAATCTTTGTCATTAGAGATCTTTATAGAAGTTTTACCAAGTAAGTAATGTTTTTGAATGTATCTTTCTAAAACACATCCAATGATATCATTATTTCACAAAACTTGAACATGACATTATGTGATAAGTTTATGCACAAACTTGTGTTTGATGACCAATATAAGAAAGACTGTTGACATAGAAAAAGAAAAGTACATGTAGCTGATACAGGTAACCATTGTTTAGAGGTCTGCAATTATAATTTATAAATGTACACGTCTTGAATTTATGTTGGGTGTGTATAGATACAGATACTGGTTTTCTTGACAGAATGAGCTTGCTGTAAGAAGAGTTTTGTTTTTGAAAATTTTAAAAAACTAAGTGCTTTTATTAAAATCATACATGTACTCTGTTACATTTGTATCAGTTTATATATTTTAAATATGACTTGTCTCGCAACAATTACTTAAGTAACAGACATTTAGAGAGATGAAGAGCATAACAGTTCTGTCCTGATATGTGTTACTTGTAATAATAATAATAGCATATAACGTATATAATGGCTGAATTTTGGAATGAGTTAATTGCTAAAGTGATTGAAATGATATGGATAATATTAAACAATAAAGAATAATCAGTAAAAATTGGAGTGTAGATGAGGATTTTTTCTAATTTCGTTGCTAATTTTGTATAACAGATTGAAAGCAAATATGTTTTTATCAATGCTTCTGTAGTATGATAACCAAGACATAAAGTTAGTATTGCAATAATGAACTGTGTACATAATTCATATATATTTATATATTGTTGATTTATATGTAAACTTTGGAGTTTATTAAGTGTTTTACATCGCTTACTTCAATAGAGTAAAACACTTGTATGCTTTTCTGTACTTTATGATGGATATTAAAGCACTGGTGTAAACTGTTCCATCACTGTTACAATGTTAGTGTAGTTTATTAGTGTTTATACAGAATGTTAGTTTTTATGTATGTTTTAAGTAGTAGTAGTTGCAGAATTGTTATCTAATTTTCTGTACAAATAGAAGAATGGTGTATAATTGTAAAATGTTGATGTAAAATACCAAAACTAACCCATGTAAAATGTTTTTATAGGTATTCAAATGTATGGTTTATATATGTATTGTATTTTGGAGTGTTATCGATTTATGTATAAAAGGGTACTTTATGCATACATTATATCTAGTCTATTTAAAATCAAAGATTTAGGTTTTACTGTTGCAATGTCTTTTAAATATATATATTAGAATGTTTAACATTTTATTTTGGTGCAGAATGTGTAGTGTAATATAATAGTAAAACAGTTCAACTGTTAATATAAAAATTTCACATGGAATAAATACAAATGTTGTATATATATATTTATATATAGAGAGAGTACTTAAAGTATGAAGTGTGAATTGTATTATATATATATCTATATATAGAGGGATTACTTAAGGTATGAAGTGTGAATTGTATTATATATATATATATATATATATATATATACACACACCACTGTTTCTTGAAGTTCTTGTTCAAATTATGTTGATTATATAAAGTGGTTTCTAAATATTTTACTACATAGATTTGAAAAAACAGAACATATTTTCCATGATAGTGGCCATTGAACCATATTTAATATGTTAACAATTTAACTTTCAAAGTAAATCAAAATTTTAATCATCAGGAATGTTAAGATAAATCTTTCTGTGCCTTAGATAGATTATTTGTTATAAAACATTCAACAGTAATTATATTCCTCTTTTGAGCAAAAATTGCTGAGAACATTCTTTAAAAAGCTTGAAAAGCTTTAATGTGAATAAGCTGTTTATAGTTAGTGTCAAGTGTTTATATAAAGCTCATGGTGTAAAGAGCAACTTTTACATGTATATATTTTAGAATGGATAAGACTTCTACTTCTGAAATGATAAAAGTAAGTTATTTCTAAAGTATATTGCTTATATGTATTCCATTGAAAAACCTGACATATACAGCAAAACAAGAAAAGCACTGTGTCAGTTTGGCACAGTAAGAATAGCTTCAATCAGTGTTATAGATCCTAAAAATCCTTCTTTGTAT